CCTCCTCCTCCTCCTCTCTCTCTCTCTCTCTCTCTCCTCCTCCTCCTCTCTCTCTCTCTCTCTCTCTCTCTCTCTCTCTCTCTCTCTCTCTCTCTCTCTCTCTCTCTCTCTCTCTCTCTCTCTCTCTCCTCCCCCTCCCTCCTCTCTCTCTCTCTCTCTCTCACTCTGAGTGTGTGTGTGTGTGTCGATATTTATCTTTTACTTGTCTTCTCTTTCTCACTCGCCTCCTCTTTCTCCTTCCCTCCATTGTTCCTTCCTTCGCTCCCTCCCATATTCTCTTCTGTTCCCATTGCCCCTCTCATTCGATTCGATTTTGTTTGGTGCATTATTATCACCACAAAACAATGGTATCGAAGTAGCGGGGCATATGTAGGCGGGGAGGTATATATATGGGAGGAGATGCGGGGGTCAGTGGCTCGCCTACCTGTCTGCATATGCTCATCCCACGCGGCTGTGCCTGTGCGTCTGCGGGCGGTTTGTTTTTCCCTGCTGTGTGCCCAGCATCTCCCAGCATTGCCTTCTCTATTGCCATCATTCTTCCACACAGTCGCAGCCCTGCTATTACCCGTACTCTGCTATTACTGTCGTTCTCGCTGCAGTCGGGCTGATACGGCTACTGATAAGAAACCGCCGTCTATTCTCCGCTGATGAGTCGGCCCATTAAATGTCGTGTAGGTAAATTGGCCGGTTGCTGCGTGTAGCACAGGTAGCCGGCTGTGCGGTCACAGCGGAGGGCGTCTATCCCAGTACTGATGTTATCTACGCCCGGGCCAAGCGGTTTGCACGTGTTTTTCGGCGCGCATAAAAGAACGGGGAGGGGGAGGCGTTTTCCGTGGGTGATGGTGAAAACAAAGGGCGGACACTGGCGAGCGGCGAGCAATTTCTGGCCGGCTATTAGGTTGGGTAATGCAATTCATGGTGATTGAGTCTACTTGATCGAAGATGGCTATCTAGTGGCTATTTCCATCCCGACTGCATTCTTCCGCTGACGACCAGTTACCTTCCTCGTTGGCCACATGCTGGTGGAGGTCTTTTTGATGTAACCTTTTGCAACGAATTTCCGTCCGCTTTGTGCAGTCCACTTCGCTAATGCATTCACGTTGGCATTACGAACAAGGTGACCTTCTGTCATTAACGAAAGAGTTTGCGTTGACACGCGTATGATGCCTGGAGATGAACTAGGTTGTTCGTAGTGGCATCGAATAAACACTTTATTATAGGTTGATGCACTCGGAGTTAACATTTTATTTCTAATATAAAATTCGTATTTAGTTCGACGGTGCTACATTGTGGGAATATCAACAGTACATAATAGCAGGAGATCTCTAGATCATCTCTATTATGTACTGTTGGTGAATATGTATGTGTAACTTTCACATTCACCCCGGAACATATGTGCGGAGGCGGTGACTGCTATGTGTGTACTAGCCGTTAGGTATAGTGTTTCAATATGGCATATGGTGCAGGGACACTCACTCGTTGAGTTGAGTGGTAAACACCTGATTGAATCCTGGCCCTGGCTGGTATCTGGTCCTGACAGACGCACACTTCTTCAGTCACAGTAGCACTCTGTGTGAGTATTACCTGTGTGAGTATTACCTGTGTGAGTATTACCTGTGTGAGTATTACCTGTGTGAGTATTACCTGTGTGAGTATTACCTGTGTGAGTATTACCTGTGTGAGTATTACCTGTGTGAGTATTACCTGTGTGAGTATTACCTGTGTGAGTATTACCTGTGTGAGTATTACCTGTGTGAGTATTACCTGTGTGAGTATTACACAGGTAATACTCACACAGGTAATACTCACACAGGTAATACTCACACAGGTAATACTCACACAGGTTGAGTATTACCTGTGTGAGTATTACCTGTGTGAGTATTACCTGTGGGTCCACCTGTGCTGTGATACTACACCGCATAGATCTTCACCTCCAGACCCCCCCCCCCACCTACCTCCAGCTGGTTGAAAAACATTGCAATAGTGCGCAAAGTTTCAATTAGAGAACATTTAATCTATTTTACATGCGCCGCGACTTTAATTGGCGCAATTTAATCAATGCGGAGGGTACACACATATATATATATATATATATATATATAC